GTCATTCATTCTATGATACCATACAATTTCATGGGATAGATAAGCTCTTTTACAACTCATTCCTTAAGCGTTCTTTTAGTAAGTTCAAGTCTTACATTATGGCTTCTGATGCTTTCTGCTTACAGCAAAAGAAAAATAAAATATATTGATTCAATTAAATGTTATGACGTGAAACATTCTATGTCTAATGATACACTATATGATACTAATAATAGTATACATATGATGCTAATATTATACATATTAATATATGTTATGCTACTTCTAATAGCAATGTCTATACTACATCTATATGATATAATTTATCATTATCTCTTTTCTTTGAATAAACTTACTATGCAACAATTGCATTTACATTTTGCTTATTTTATTTTCGTAGTCAAAAATAAGCAATTGAAAATAGTTAAGCAATTTCAAACCCTGGATAAGTCATGTCATTTATTTATCTCTTTTCTTTATATAATTTTGGTCCTGAAAAGGACCGATTTTTGTATATTTATAAAATTATATTGCTTCCAATCTTAAGCACGTTCTCCACGAATACGTCTAGCCAATTGAATATCTTTTGGCATAATTGTAACGCGTTTGGCATGAATTGCGCATAAGTTAGTATCTTCAAAAAGACCCACTAAGTATGCTTCGCTAGCTTCTTGAAGAGCCATTACAGCAGAACTCTGGAAACGTAAATCAGTTTTGAAATCTTGTGCAATTTCACGGACCAAACGCTGGAATGGCAATTTGCGAATCAAGAGCTCAGTACTCTTTTGGTAGCGACGAATTTCACGTAAAGCTACAGTTCCTGGACGATAACGATGTGGTTTTTTCACACCTCCAGTAGCTGGTGCACTTTTACGTGCGGCTTTGGTAGCCAATTGTTTTCGTGGTGCCTTACCACCAGTCGATTTACGAGCAGTTTGCTTTGTACGAGCCATAATTTATGAGATATGTTACAATATGGTATTTTAAAAAATAGCGCAATTGAATAGCTCAATTTTCTCATCATACCTGGATGTTCTGTTTCAACTATTCACATGTTTTAACATTCATTGTTTCTCATATTGCTTATTCTTTTTGTTTTGTTTTCTTTTGTTTTGTTTTGTTTTACTCAATCTTTTTCATATCTTTCATAGTGCTTATGTTTTCTATAAATAGTCGTCAATCATCCGTCGTCACTTCATTTATTGTTTGAATTTGAATTCGAACGGTTCTACCATATCTATAAAAATTTAAATACAAAATGACAGGTCGTGGTAAAGGTGGCAAAGGATTAGGAAAAGGTGGTGCTAAGCGTCACCGCAAAGTTCTTCGTGATAACATCCAAGGTATTACGAAACCAGCTATCAGACGTTTAGCTCGCCGAGGCGGAGTTAAGCGTATTTCTGGTTTGATTTATGAAGAAACTCGTGGAGTATTGAAAGTATTTTTGGAAAATGTGATCCGTGATGCTGTTACATACACAGAACATGCCAAAAGGAAGACTGTTACAGCCATGGATGTCGTATATGCTTTAAAGAGACAAGGCCGTACCTTATACGGTTTTGGAGGTTAAGCAAATAATCAATTATTGATTTAATAATGCAATAATATATTGCCCAATGGTCCTTTTCAGGACCCAAATAATCTTACACTTAAAGAGATAAATTTACATATATATGTGTTGGTATTTTTCTAATATTATAAAAAAAATAAAATTTATTATTAGCTTGGTCGATTGATGTCTGTCGAGTATAATTGATAATTAAAATGATCAGTTTAACAGAGTCCAAAATATTTATTATTATAATTCTCAATTTCTTTGTTACATTAGCAGTATATATGTGGACTAGCTTCTTACGGGCTTAATTATAATTCTCATTCAATTTTTTTATAGAATAAGATAAATAGAACTGACGTATATAAGTAATTTGCGGACTGTTAGATATTGCAGTTTGAAGTTTCCACACAATGGTGTGAAAATTTTCTCCATTCATTCCTAAGAGGTGGTTTTAGTGAATTCAAATCTCACACTGAATCTGATCTTAATCTTAATCCAAATCCAAGTGTTCAACAAGCAAAATGATTGCGGGGAAAATGAAAGTGAAAAAAATTCGTATATGAATTAAGTGAATTATGACAATATTATATAAAGAAAAGAAATAAAAGAACTTGTTATTGAAATAAATTAGAATATTTTAAAATTATCTTTAAGTAATTTGCAGCGTCTTGCAAGTGAGTACCGAGTGTGGTGTGTTAGTTATAAATTAACAAGTGTAATTAGAAGCATTATATAATAATAAATAAAATTAGCATAAACCACTATTTTTATTTATTTAAAATAGAATTTAAAAATGAAATTAAGTGAATAAAATATATACAAGTGAGTATTTCATCAAATAAATGACATATTTTGATATATAATATTTTATGGTCATTACTATAATAAATAAATAATTGGATATTAAATATAATAGAATAAGATAAATATTTATTAACTTAAGAATGATGTGAAGTATTGCACATAATGTCTAAATAAGAGAATATAATTTTTTTAAATGCATAAAGAATTTTTGTTTGCTTATTAGAGATTAAATTTATAGCGCATTACAGAATAAAAGAATCTCTTCATATTATTCATGAGGTATTATTAAAAGAAATGATCGTGCACTATGACAAGGTATATTGTGCCCATTACTCGGGTTAGAATGTTTCTCCAAGTCCGTTTTCTTTAATGAAAGACAATATAAAGTCCTAGTCTTGAATATTTATGATCCATGAAATACCCTCCTAGGTGTTTATTCCGTTTGTGCATCAGTGGACACTACCCAAGCACATGGTATACAGTTTCTCTCTTCTCTACAGTATCTGCAGTCTGAGTTGGATTGAATTCCTAACTTCGATAGGTGATTATTCAATCTTTAGTGACCGGTCATTAATAAACGCAATAGGTATACCATATACTAAAACATTTTATAAAATAAATAAATAATGAATCTTCTTATCTTCTTTTTACACATATTTTGTAGCCCTAAAAAGGGCTGTTTTGATGAATTTAAAGTTTGATTTTTAAAATTATTTTTTTGCAGCAGTTTTCTTGACTGATGTTTTTTTAACGGCAGTTTTTTTAGGTTTTGCGGCCGCTTTAGCTTTTGTAGAAGTAGACTTTGGTTTAGCTGGCTTAGCCTTAACAGATCCAATCTTTTTAACACTTTTAACTTTAGCTTTCTCAGTTTTTTTCTTTTCAACACTCTTCTTAGCTGCCGCAGATTTTTTAGGTTTTTTCTCTCCAGATACCTTTGCCTTTGACTTTTTAGTACCTGCAGATGATGCAGTAACCTTCTTCTTCGTAACACCTGATGGCACCTTCTTTTTCTTACCCTCGACAGACGATTTAGGAGACTTAGCAGCAGCAGCTGATAATTTAAATGAACCAGATGCACCTTTTCCTTTTGTTTGTATCAATTTGCCATTAGCTACAGCAGTTTTCAAATATTTTTTAATAAATGGAGCCAATTTCTGGGCATCACATTTATATGTGGCACTTATATACTTTTTAATTGCCAACAATGAAGATCCGCTGCGTTCCTTCAAGTTCTTGATAGATGCATCAACCATTTGTTGTGTTGATGGATGAGATGGAGCTGCAGAAGGTTTTTTTACTTTTGTTGCCTTTTTAACAGCAACTTTCTTTTCAGGAACGGCAGTTATCTCCTTTGGAGAATCTGTATTTGCAACGGCAACAGCTTCAGACATATTTGCTTTTTAATATTCCGTAATATTCTTACTTATGAATATTTTTTCACATTTTTATGGTAGCTTAGCTCACTTTGTACGAAGCGCCGAGAAGAGCGCATTTATAAAAATTTTTCATTAATACATATTTCTACTGAGTTTGAAAAAATTTTTCAACATTTATTATTAATTTTAAATAGACCAAGTAAATTAAACACAATTATTTAAATCAAATTAAGTAAAGAAGATATTGAATATTTTATTACATTCATTTTTATACTAATTATAATTATATAAAATATATAAAAATTGGTTTAAACTTTAAATTTTGTAAATCTATAGTTGAACTTGTTAATAAATTAGAATATTTTAAAGTTATCTTTTGTATAATTTATATATTAAATTATTTATTAAATAGTTTATTCAATTCTCTGTTAAATTATATATATGGTTTTATATATTTCATATATTTATAAATGCAAATTTAATAAAACATGAGATGCATAAAAACGTCAGTTTTAACATTTTGAATGCTTATGTTTTATCCTATTTTGAAATATTAACTCAATTTATATAAAAGTTTAAAATTTCAAAGCACTAATAGAAATAATTATAAATAAATATATTGTATTTTAATTAGAATATAAGATTATCACTTTTAATTATATCAAATAGTGTCTATTTGAGATTAGATATCCATCCATAATGTTAACATGTTACATTGAATTCGTTTACTTTAAAATATGTTTTAAGATTTTCTATACGTATTATTTTTAAAATTTTATTACAAGTTTTAAATAATTTTTAATCATGTGAAAAATTATTATATATAAACGTTATTAATAACATATCAGCAATTAAATTTATAGTTTTCAATATCATTCGAATATAACAACTGTACGTATCCTACTTAATAGAATTCATAAAAAAAAATTATATCTACATACATGATTAAAAATATATAAGAATGAAATCATTTTACTTTTTCTTTTATAATTATAATTTAATCATTTAACTTTGACTATTATAAGTATTTTATTAAATATGTATATTTAAAAAAAATGTTCTTTTTATTACTTTATAATTAAAATAAAATTAAAATTAGATGTGCGTATTCTAACATTTTTATAAGGAGTGATATACGACATAAAATGTTAAAATTTAAGATGAATTTTTTTATAAACTAACATGGATATGGATAACATTTAAATAGATACTGAAGTATATATATAAACTTGCGGCTGCAATCTTCCATAGTCATTCCTAAGAGCTAGTTTTAGTAGGTTCAAGACTCACACAGTGGCTTTGGATGTTTTCCATCTACTGCCATAAATCTTTTATAAAATATAGAATATTTTATAAAACTAATTCAGATACAAATTTTAAAAACTCTACCTTTAAATAATTTATCTATAATAATAAATATTACAATACCAAAATATTGAAATAGTAACTATGATAATAATAGTAAACATTTAGGCCGTGTGCGAGTTCGAGTATATTTAGGGGAAATAG